CCACCACAGAGCTCCTCGTCCCGCTTCATTTCGGCACCCTCATCTATCTGGGCTCGTTGGTCTCCTTTCTCCAAGCCACCCTGTACCGCGGGCCAAGCCCCATCCCAGGGATGCGGGGCAGCAGAGCTGCTGCTTCACACCAGGATCCTCCAGACGTCAGAGCCCGGCACCAGCTCGAACGTCCTCTTCCCCACCACCCCCCAGCTCCAGCAGCCCCTGGGGCTGAGCACCCCAAGGCTCGCTGCCCGCTCTCCACCTTTCCCATGGCAGCCCCAGGCCCTGACCCCGGCCCCGTCCTCCCCATTGCCCCACTCACCAGCATGGCTGACTGGCTCTCCACCACCGTCCTCCTCCTCCTCCTGGCTCCGCCAGCTTGCTCCTGCTCAGCGTAGTCAGCCTGGGGCTCCTGCAGCTCGGTGGGGTGACGGGGAGCAGGGGCTGCTTCGTGGTGGGGGGGACACAATCTCCCCTCGTGTCTACCGTAGCAGTGGCCCGGGAGCACGGGCTGAAGCAGGAGCTCTGCATCACAGCGAGACAGCGATGCCCGCATGGGTGCCACCATCATGGTTGACCATGCGTCCTCCGCTGCCCCCACTGCAACTGCTCCGTGGAGTTGAGGGACGCGGAGTGACCGGGGGGCTCTGCGTGTGTCCGAGGTGCTCTGCACACCTGGCCCTACCCACCACAGCCCCATTAACCAAGCCCTGTACCCCTTTACCTGCACACTCGGCACCCCTCCCTCCTGCCCTACATACTGTGCCCCCACACCTAACCTGGCACACGGCACCCCATAAACCCTACTGTAACTTGTGTGCTCAGCCCTACACGCTGCACCCCATATACACCCATGCCTGCACGTTACACCTCGCACACCCAGCCCTACTCCCTGCAGCCCCTACGCACCGTACCCTACACCCAGCCCTACTCCCCGCAGCCCCTACGCACCGTCCCCTACACCCAGCCCTACTCCCCGCAGCCCCTACACACCGTACCCTACACCCAGTCCTACTCCCCGCAGCCCCTA